TCTATTAGCATAATTTGTGTCAAGAGAGCTTATTATTGGGAATCCTCAAGGYTGCGTTTGGTAATTAGTGTAAAAAGTGATTTTAAATTAACCAACTTATTTCATTTTTGTATCAAACTTTGCTCTTATTTTGAACGCAAAACTGGTTGAAAAAACTTTCATTTTCAGTACAAAAATGCATTCTTACCAACAACCTGCAAAACCAAATTGAAGTGCAAATTCACKTTGGTTCTGCACTTGCATTCTTTCAAAATGCAGCCCTACTGTAATAGCTTTATGTCTGAGGTCATTGCTGGAAGACAATTTGGTATTATGATGGTTTTTCTTTCTATTTTTAGGGGAATTWTCTAAAACCTCCTTTTCACTTTATTGACAATGCCTAAACTCCCAAGTCTTTCTAGATACCTCCAAGGAATTCCCTGTCAAAGGTTCCTGTAAATCATCATTATCATCCAACTCTTATCCCAACTTTTTGGTGTTGGCTTACATGCATCCTATTTTGCCATTCTGTTTTCTTTAATGCTATATCCATCATTCCATTGTTATATATTTAGTGCTTAAATAATTTCGTACTACTTCTATGCATGTCATTTTTGGTCTACCACCCCTTCTAACCCCTTCAGCTTGCAACAAACAAATCACTTATTATGGGTTTTGTCAAAAGTCTTCAGTACATGTCACCAAACCATCTTGGTATATGAATACCAAAAAAAAAGCGTAGTGAAGAGACTATGATATTGAAAGAATCATCTTGGTCTATTCTGAGAGGTGTGGCTGGAAAACCTTTTTTTCTTTCTAGGGTTTTGAGAGAAAACCCTAAAATTCAGAACTGTCGTTGGTTTCAGATCAGATTTGAACTGGTTTCATACAGAATTCTATTTTTCCTTGTTTTTGGAAGACCTAGGCCGGTTGTTATCAGTTGTTTAGGTGTTGTTGTTTTATTACAGTAGCTTCAAAAGTTTTTTATTACTAATTCTTGACCAAGAATGGAGTTCAAGAATCAGGGGGAAGGTGTTTTTGGGACTACCAATTCTGGTAACATGTCTGAGAATGCCTTTCATATTACAATTGTGAAGTTTGATGAATCCAACTACTTAGAATGGGCTCAATTGGCCATGATGGCCATTGGGGGTAGAGGAAAACTTAGCTACCTGTTGGGAGATTTGAAAGAACCATCTAAGGAGGACCAAATGTATACCAAATGGGTTCAGGAGAACTATTTGGTTATGACATGGTTCTGCAACTCTATGCAGCCACATATCAGCCAGAACTATTTGTGGGCAAAAACAACCAAGGAAATCTGGGATGTCATGAAAGAGACTTACTCCCAACCCCTTAATGTTGCTAGGGCCTATGAATTGAAGTGTGAGGTTAATAACTTTAAGCAAGGAAAGAAACCAGTCTCCGTTTACTTCTCTACTTTGAAATCTTTGTGGCATGAAATTGACCACCTAGAAACACTTGAGTGGGAAAGTCGGAAGGATGTACAGACTCATAGAAAGCAAGTTGAAACTAATAGAGTTTTTGAATTCCTAACTGGTCTGAATCCTGACTATGATATTGTGAGACAGTAAATACTAACAAGGGACAGTGTGACCTTATCTCAAGCCTACTCCTTGGTGCATAGTGAAGAGACTAGGAGAAAGGTTATGATGCAGCATCAGCCCTTCCCACCAGCCTTGGCAGCAGTTATCCTAGAGGAGGGAGGCATGGCCCGAAAATGCCTTGTGGGTCAGCACAGCACGACCCACACTTTGTGCGACTCACATGCAGGTTGTGTCGTGCCGACCCAACACGACCCAATTTACACATCTACTTGAACCTGCCCAATACTAGGGACAGGGTAGAGAAATTTAAGGATTCTCCATCCTTGATGAGAAATGAGGTGCCTTGCCCCTGAACTCGCCTGACATTGAGGAATGGTTACCTTGCCCTGAACCTGCATGACACTGGGAACGGGGCGGGGATGGGGTAGAGTGTCTTGACTATGGGGCAAGGAAATGGATGGGGTGCCCTATCCTGAACCCACCCGTTGTCATTCCTATACAATTGTTAATTATTAGTGGAATTAATGAAAATGTTAGCTTTTATAATTATTTATATTTATATTTTAAAATTAATCAAAATTTTATTTAATAATAAAAATTATTAATAAAACTAAATTTTTTAAAAAATATTTGTTCATAATCAATTAACAATAATTATTTTTTATAAATTAACATTAAATGAAAAATAAAATTATTAAATGTTTTAGATTTTCCTGTGCATCGCACGATCTTGCTAGATTAAATATAAAGGAGAATTCGCCAATGTCAATTGGGCCCATTGATTCTAAGTAAAATGTACCCATCAAGTAAATGTACCTAATAAATACAATCCTTCTACCATTAAAGTTCAAACTGAGAGTAAGGAAAGGACTTATTTCCTATACTTAGGAATATATTAGTGTCATGCCTCTTACTCAAATGAATACTAAGAGATCTTTGATTTCAATACTAATAGATTTAAGTATTCACTAGAGAAAACATATTCAAAGCATTCACTTTATTTGACAAAGTAACAAATCCTATCATAATGATCATCTACCCTAATTCATCATTTTTTTTTGGTAATGCACTAATTCACATATCAAAAGCAAATGTAGACCACTATCAAGTTGAAGGATTGTATGTAACGATGAAGATATTTTACTAATCACAAAGTCCAAGAACATATTACTATATTAGAAGTAATCTAATTCAGCATTTTTCTTGCCCTTTATCCAGTGTGGATGTAAGTAGCTGATATCTTTCCTCAATGGTGTTGGGAAGATACATTACAGTAGCTGAATTGAGTGTAAAATCAATTTCAGGACAGCAAGAACTTTTACCCTAAGTTTGTGTGAAAAATATATGCCAACAACAATGATAATAAGTAAATAATTCAGCCAAGTAACAGAAAAAAAAAATATAACAGTCACCACACAATAGCACACTAGAATTTTTAAGTAGAAAACTCCAAATTAGGGAAAAATCACGGGACCTATGGTCCATAAAAGTCCTCCACTAATTCAGAACTTAATGAATACAATAGTCTTCTCTAGTTGCAACTAGAGACTTACAAACATTAAGAAAATAATCCTTAGCTCACAAGAACAACATTAACATCACCAAATGCAAGGTGGATACAACACAAAAAAATGTTTAGATCTCACCAAATCTAAACTGGAGTGGGATTCTTAACTCCAACACTTAATATCATAAAAAATGGGCTTGAAACACCTCCAAGCTTGGCCTTGAATGGAGTAGAAAAATTAACTCTCTTCTTCTCTTCTTCACAATCTCAAAAAACCCAAAAACCCTCGATTCTGTGTTTTTTTTTTTTTTTTTCAGTTCGATGGTTACGAAACATGATGCCCAAATAAAAAAAAAAAAAGTGGAAGCTATGCGGCTCCTTTTGGGAGCAAATAAAAGTGGGTGGGCCCCTTATATGGGCTGGACCCACACCCAACAAATGGTGATGAAGCCTCTTGTCCTGCTGATATTTTGTTCCTGTTGAAGAATTAATTAAGCTTTTGTGTACTTTTCCGGTGGTGGCCAAGACTCAAAGAGAGGCGAATGGCTGAGCCCTTGAGGTTGAAAGCATTGTTAATTATAAAGAATTATTTGCAGTCTATTGTCGCTGTTCCTCTTTTGTTTATTTCCTGCTTGTGATTTTTTTTCTTTCCTTTTCCTGTTATATAACTTTCTGTCTTTTGTGCTGGATTATGATATGAAAAACATATAATACTCAAAAAAACAACTGATCAATAAACTGGAATCATAAAGTATTATTTATCAAAATTTATGGATGGGTTTTGATTGGTCAAAACTCTTTTCATATCATATCTTATTTTTCCCGCATCATATATTTTCCCTTTCTGTGCCATTCTTTAATGAATGTGTTTTTTTATCAAAAAAAGCAAAGAAAGAAGAAAAAAAGAGCCTGAAGATCCTACCAGTAAAAGATAACCACAGAGGTATAGAATTGTTCTACACGGCTGTACCCTACACAGGTTTGGGCTCGGGCTGGGCCCGCCCAAGTTGCACCCGTAGACATGGACAACTTCTGTTAATAAATATTAATGGTGCTGTCAGGAGGGTGAGTTTTGAAAAATAAAAGTTCACTGACATACATGGGTTCTTTGCTATGTCATTAAAGCATCTTTACCAAAAATAGTACATCATTAAAGCATTTGGTCTCGATTTTAAACTTGTGGAATTGGAGATGCCACATCATACTGGGGAGGTGTGGATAATCATCTTAACTGTCTCTCACTGAGCCGAGAAGAGATGGGTCCCAGTTTTGTTTTTGTCTCGATTTCTCGTAATTCAAATGATGTTGAAAACTCGATCGATAAGTGAAAACTTATAACCAGGTTCCAATTTTATTTCTCTGGATTGGGATTTTGTCAAACAGAATCCAGAAAGAAATTCAAAGGAGGATGGATAATTTTGACATTTTCAAAAAATTTTAAGTTACACATGTTTTAAGAGTAAAATACAAAAATCTCTCCAAAAATTACCAGACAATAATAAAAATTTCTCTTTTATTTTAACAAATATCTCCCTTAAACTTTTGAGAAATTCAATAAAAGTTTTCCTTCCATCACTGTCATAGACAAAAAATATTAAATTGATACACCAGTTTTTTCTAAATACCCATTCTACCTTTTTATAAATTATTTTATATACAAAATTATTGAAATAACCTCATTTTAACTCAACAAAAACCTCTTTTAAAGTTATATGTTTTCTTGTTAGGTTAAAATAGGATTATTTCAATATTTGTTATGTAAAATAATTTATAAAAAATAAAAAAGATATTTAAAAAAAACTGGGATATCAATTTAACGTTTGTGAAGGAATGGAGGTTTTGGCTAAATTTCTTAAAACTTCAGGAGAAGTATTTGTTAAAATAAAATTATAAGGAAGGTTTTTATGACTAGTGGGGACCAACTTAACACTATTTGAAACTAAAAAATGAAATTTTCCCATTGTGAATCACAGAATACCACCAGCTTCTCTCTCTCTCTCCATTCATTCAATCATGGAAAACGAGAAGGATAACCTTCACATCGTAATGTTCCCATGGTTAGCCTTCGGTCACATGCTACCATTTTTGGAGCTGTCCAAGTGCTTAGCTCAAAGGGGTCACCGTATCTCCTTCGTCACTTCCCCAAGAAACATTCAAAGACTCCCCCAAATCCCTCCCAGTTTATCACATCTCATCAACTTAGTCAACCTACCCTTACCTCCGGTCGATAACCTGCCGGAGAATACAGAAGCCACCATTGACCTCCCATACGACAAGATCCAGTACCTTAAGAAGGCCTTCGATGGTCTGGAGGAACCTCTGACTCGTTTCCTGGAGGCCTCGTCACCGGACTGGGTTATTTACGACTTTGCTCCTCACTGGTTGCCCCCGATTACTAACAAACTTGGTTTGCTTGGAGCCTGCTTCAATATATTCAACGCAGCAGCGCAAGTCTTCATTGTGTCACCGTCGTCGATGATGGGTGAGGAAGATCCAAGATCAGAGGCAGAGCATTTTACTGTGCCTCCCAAGTGGATTCCTTTCCCTTCCAATCTAGCCTTTCGCCTGCACGAGATCCGCCGAATATTTGACGCCGTCCAAGAGAACGTTGCAGGTGTTTCTGACATATTCCGGTTCGAGTCGACGGTCAGAGGCAGCGATATCATTGCTATTCGAAGCTGTGTCGAGTTCGAAGCGCAGTGGCTACGTCTCTTAAACGAAGAGATTTGCCGAAAACCCAATGTTCCGGTAGGCTTACTTCCCCCTTCGGTGCAAGACATCAGAGAAGGCGACGACGATGAGAGCTGGATCGCTATCCGTGAGTGGCTAGACAAACAGAAGAGCAGGTCCGTGGTTTATATTGCACTAGGGAGCGAAGCAACACTGAGTCATGAAGACGAGACAGAGCTAGCTCTTGGTTTGGAGCTATCGAGGTTGCCTTTCTTTTGGGTACTGAGAAGACCGCCTGGATCATCGGCAGCCGAGGAATTGCCAACCGGATTTGAGGACCGAACCAGGAGCCGCGGGGTGGTCTGTAGGGGTTGGGCCCCTCAGATGAAGATATTGGCGCACCCATCGGTAGGGGTATTCCTGACTCACTGTGGATGGAGTTCAGCCATTGAAGCACTTGGGTGGGAAGTCCCTCTGGTTCTTCTGCCCCTGACATCGACACAGGGCCTTTGTGCGAGGCAATTGGCGTGGGATAAGATTGGAGTAGAGATACCGAGAAATGAAGGAGACGGATCGTTTACGAGGAACTCAGTTGCCGAGACACTGAGATTGGTGGCCGTCAGCGAACAAGGCAACGCCTTGAGGACCAGAGCGAAGGAGATGAGAAAGATCTTCTGCAACAGCACTCTGCACGATGGATACATGGATAATTTTGAACGCCACCTCAAAAACCATAGGCTCCGTAATAAGCTCCTCAAAACAGACTAATTTTAAGTCGTTTCTGTAGTTAAATTAAAAATATTTGTAAGTTTTTTTTCTTCTCTTCCTTTCTGTTTGATTTTACCTGGAAAACCTTGCTATGAAATGGAAGTATTCGATCTGGGTTTTTTTCCTCTCATAGAAGAAACATAAACAGCTTAAAAAATGGACACAAATGGTCGAAGAAGCATTTGATCAAATGGGTTATGGGGTCAATGGCTGTGAACAACTTAAAACGTTGATTTAAGCAGTTTATCTGAATGGACCATGCAATTTGATTCACAGGCTCACAGCCACGTGGTCTTCCACTAAAGTACTTCAATGCAATTACCATGGTTCAAAGTTTCTCATCATGGAATAATTTCGACAAGGTCACGGAAAATGTGAAAGGAAATATGAAAACCCTTTGGTTGAAATTTTCAAAACTTCCTTCAAGATTCACAGGATTTTGCTTCGCACACATTTACTCGTGCTCAAAATCCCAATTTGTTTTTTTTTTTTATTTTTATTTTTTCAAGTGAGGCCTCGAGAGTTTGAAAAAATAAAAAGCCTTAACGGTGCACCTCTGTTAAGAAGCATTAACGGTGCACTAACGGAAGGTGAGTTTTGGAAAATAAAAACTCTGACATGGTGAGTTTTAGACATTTTTGAAAAGTTGTAGTGAGTTTAAAAAAATGTTGAAAACTCATGGTGAGTATTAAATAATTTCCCAAAACAAAAACATTCTTTATCCAAGTGATAACTAAGCAATTTGACCATTTGAATCAATTGATAAACCTATGAAGTCATAGTTAGGTAATAAAATTTTTAAAATACAAATAAATATACAAAAATACAAAAATGTAGAAAAAGTAGACACATTTATGATAGTTTTATTAACCAAATTAAAAAATAAGTGTAATAAAAAGAATTTTTTATTGATAATGAAAATGAAATACATACTTCAAAACTTACCAAAAATGAAATTATTTTACTATTTGGAAAAGATCAATAGTTCAACCTTTATGTCAAATGTATTAACATTTAATGTCATAAATAAATAATATAAAATATAAAATATAAAAATATAAAAATGAAAAAAATACATAAATATTGGAAAAAACACATTCAGGCACATGTATAATATTAATTAACTATCATATTAAACAAAAAGTAAGTGCGACATATTGGAATTATTTTTACACCAAAAAATAAAACAAATCAAGAAAAAAATTGAAGCATCTATAATTCTATATTTACACTACTGTTAAAAATATAAATAAAATTGTAGAATTTTCTTTAGACTAAAATCAATGTTTTGAAAACTGACCCCAAAATAGAACTGCTTTGGTTTTCGATTTCCAAGTTAGTAGTCCAATCGTTGCTACAACACCGCTTGCCCTCTTTTTAGTTCTTACACCTTTCTCATCTTTCTAAATCTCTATCAAATCCTAGATCATTTGATTCATTGGTATACGTCAGATTTTAATATAAGATCGGTGTTTAATCACTCATCTCTTGCATCAATTTTTCAATTTCTTCATTGGAGTGATAATTGTTTTTATTGCTACAACTTAAAAAGAATCACAAGAATGAAAAAACTCAAAATCAAAATGGAATAACTAAAAATCCAACTAATTTTGGCCATTAGGAATAATTGAACAAGATTTTGAGATATGAAGGTTTCTGTTATCATTTTTTTTTATTTTATAATTTCTATTTTTAAAATAAATAAAAAATTTGGAACTAGTTTGAAAGCAACCCAATAATCATTAATCGGGTCAAACATTTTAACGGTTAAACTGTTCGGATCAACAATTATCTGACCATTTCAATGGCTTTTTTTTTGGTAAAAGAGCGGTTCAGGGCCAAAACGGAACCGGTGACCTGACCATTTCTTGGGCCAAAACGGTTCAACCATCTAGTCTGGTCTAATTTTTAAAACATTAACTAAAATACTCATTTTTTCTTAATTTAGTTCATATTTAATTGTAAAGTTCAATTTAGTTCCTATTTCTGATAAATGAACAAAAGAAAAAATATATATACTATTTATAAAAATGTAGATGCATAGTGGAAGTTTTTTTTTGAATAAAATTACCCTCTATTTCTTTGTTTGATAAAGGGTATGAAAGTCATTTTATTACATCTTTAATGCCAATTTTTTATGACTACTAAAATTCCCATATTTGTCTATTTATTACATCTCTAATTGTAAGGTTGAACATGCAACTTCAATTATTACTTTTCACCTCATTTAATCCTCTTTCATTAAAGTTATACTTAAAGGTATTAATTTCCATTTTCTCTTATTAAATCCTATATTTAAATTATTTTTCACCAATAAATGGTACTAATTAGATCTATGTCAATACTTTTAATAATACAAACTCATATTTTAAGATAGCTAAAAAACAAAAGCATTTTTTATCCAAGTGATGGCTAAGCAATTCAACCATTCAAATCAAATTGATCAACCTATGAAGTCATAGTTAGGCAATAAAATTTTTAAAATAGAAATAAATATATAATATTACAAAAATGTAGAAAAAATTAGACACACTTACGATACTTTTATTAATCAAATTAAAAAAAAAAGAAAATTGTCTAAAATTCACCATAACTTTTCGGCATTTCTCTTTAACTCACCATATAACTTTTCAAAACATCTAGGGAACCTCATCTCATTAATTTGACCTTAAATAGACTAACGGCTGTTACTAGATTACCATTTTTCCCTTTATAGAAAAATGTAAAATATATACATATATATATATAATAACTAAAAAGACATGAAAAAATGAAAAGTTCAAAAATTTTTAAATTACTAGATTACCGTTTTTCCCTTTATTTGACCCCTACTATTATATTTGACTATTTGAGTGAGGACAATTATAAAAATTTTAAATTTATTCATATTTCATAATTATATAACTTTTTTTTTCAAATCTCAGTGGGAGAAATTGTGGCTTCAAAATAAATCCGCTAGTGCAACCAAATATGAACTCAAAATTGCTACAAATGTACAAACTTCACTTAATAGCTGTTGAAGGCCTACCCAAGGCACTGAAGCCACCGTTGATATCTGTCTCGGAGGAAAAAATGACAGCTAATGGCTTAATATCTTACACCATCAAGTCAAGAAAACCATAGCTGATGAGTAAACTCATTGGATCTTCCAACACTTCACCTCTTACGGTCAATTCCTTTTACCACCAATAATATTCCTGTCGTAGTAAAATTTAGCCGTCACCAAAACGTCGGGGTGCTCATCAAAACCAAAAAATCAAATCAAATTAAGGAAATGAAATCGGAAAATTCGATTAACTGAACTTTTTTAAGTTCAGTTTGATATTTTTTTAAACCTAAGGACTGGTTCAATATTCGATTAAGTTCAAACTCATTGGACCAGGAGCAAATCCCAAAACCAAGGTCAATATCACCCCACCTTTCAATTTCGTTTCTTCCCTCAACGAGCGCCAAGCAGAGCGGCGGCCGCTGCAAGAACCACAGAATCATGATAACATTTGAACAGTTGAAAGAGTTGGTGCTCTCAGTTTATTGGTTTTGATTCTTCAACAACAAGGTGTGTATGACCAATCGGATCCACAAAACCGTCTCTTGCAGCAGTCTCCGGTCACCAGGGTGCATGGACGAGTTGATCTATGGCGTCTTCAAACTGGGTTTGGCAATCACGCAGCATGGCCACGAGAAGAGGATCGCCATTGACCTTGGGGATAAGCTTCGTGGGTAAAGAAGCGAGCTTTGAGAGCTTGATAAGGGCAACTTGGAGGGAGAGCTTGAAGAACTCTTCTGGATCTGTGGTTTTCTAGGCGGCAAGTCAAGAAATGCTTGAGATTGCGGTGCTGTTTGTGTATCTCAGGCAAGGGAAGATGAACAGTATTTTTTGAATATCGATAAGTCCGATACATCAGTATGGGCATATTGGGCAAATCGATACCTTTTTTTATATATTCAGGGAGCCAGTTTAGGTCTCCTTCATCCCTGGACCAGTCAGACCCCGATACACCCACTGTAAGGATATATTGGAGGGGTGTCGGAACGATATGTATGAACACTTTGAACCTTGATTTATTATAAGGGTAGTTTGGAAATTAAAACAGTGGATTTCAACGGAAAACTAACGGAAAGGGTCTTTGTCTCACCGTCATAGTATGGAGGTCTTTGTTGCAAAACAAAGTACAGGGGTCTTTGTCACAGACCCCATATTACAGGGGGGATCTTTGCAATTTACCCAAAAATAGATGATTAATCGAACCGGGCCAGTAAAAATATATACACCTGCACCCCTACCAGAAAGTATGAACTCTACACCATAGTGGATCCCAAACTCGTCATCGGTCGCTTTCCACTGAATCTCAGACATTGTTCAATGTGAATGATGCCAAGCATTACAATCAAACCTTTGAGACTTGCCATGACGTGGCCATTCACAATTGCAGATGGTTTAGAAGAAAACCATCTGAACTCAATGGAGAAGTTACACAGCAAACTAGTAATTCAAGTGGGCCTACTTCCACCGGCGCCATTGGAGAAGACTATATGAACTCAAAGAAAGGGGACAGGGGTAAACTCAGATGGCTCCTGATGCACCGGAGGCACGAGACTGCGGGACATATCCATTTTCTTTGATAATGGGCTATGGAAGATAGTTGACCAAGGCTGAGTCAACAAAATGTGTGGCTTGTTACCTCAGCATCATAGAAAATGTAGTCGGATTGTCGGAAACTCGTAAACCACCGAACGATTCTCTTCATTATATCTTTTTTAACTACTACTCTTAATTATGTTTCAAAAAAAAAAAAAAAACTACTATCCTAAACTTCTAGAGATGTAGAAAGATAAGCCCAAGGTTATTGGGTTTTGCTCAATCTACAAACTCATCCAATCACATCCACCAAACTCTCGTCCCTATGCAATTATGAAAACAAAAGAGGGTGTGGGTCATTCAAAGTCCTTAAATTTATAAAATTACTAACCCATGTTGGACGAAGTGATTACTTAAGTTGGACAGCATTCCAAGTAAACATTCTTTCATTGGTACAGAGATTGTTCTAATCTAGCTATTCTGCTCTCTATACATCCTCATTTTTTTTCTGAAGAGTTAAAGCATAAAATGATTGAGCAATATTCCACAATCTGAACAATTAATCTGTTGAAATACATATTGTGTATGCTACCTACTTGGGAGGGGACGTTAGTTTGTGTTCTTCAGAATCATGCTTTAATGCTGCATCCCCGCCCATTAATTCCTGAAAGCCCTCTACTTTCACTGGCGGCGCCCTTATGGTTGCCATATTCCTGCAGGTGTGGACAAACTTAAGAAATCTCGCATGTGCCAGAAAAAGTGAACAACTGCCATAGTAATCTAATCATATATAAGATTCTTACTGTGTTTGGAGCTGAGGAATTTGTAGGGATGACAACTGTTTAAACTGATTGCTGGATTGATTGTGGAGGTTTGCAAACGCAGCCATTTGCTGCTGCCTAAACTGCATTTGAGGATGTCTATGATTTACACCAGTGAAGGCATTACCATCAATTGGTGATTCAGTTTGGCTTTCAATCTTGACTTCCACCATGGATCTTTCTTTCTCCATAGTCGTACCAGACCGAGGAGTGGATGGTTGGCGCCTTCGCATTCTCTCCCACTGCTGTTGCTGTTGAAAAGCCAGATTCTGGTTATGCACCATCTGCATCTGTGGATGCATCTGTCTTGGAATCTGCAAGTTCAAAGAGGAGACACAAGATAACAGTTATATTTCTAGATAAATAGGTCATTAATCCATTAGGTTAGCAATTATGATACTATATACACAAAGGGCAGCTATGCATTATGCTATATGGAGCATAATGTTGAGCAGTCAAGAAACATGTCCAAAAAATGGGTGTGGCAGAAATGTGTATGCTGAGACGAATGAGTGGAAAACCCGTAAAGAATAGGATCAGAAATGAAGTTATCAAAGGAACCTAGGAACAACTTGAATAGGTGATGAAATGAGAATAAATAGACTAAGATGGCTTTGTCATGTGCATAGAAGACAATCAATAGCACCCATAAGAAGTGATTTATTGCAAATTGAAGGGGCTAGAAGGGCTAGGAGTTTACCAGAAAAGATACAAGTCATAGTAAGAAATGATTTAAGCATCCATAATTTAACAAATGGATATGGCATTAAACAGAACAGAATACATCTAGCCAACCCCATATGATTGGGATAAGGCTTCGATGATGATGATGATATACAAAGTACAGCGTGGGTTTGACCGAGACAAAATTCACATTAAAAGTTTAAATCCAAGATATGGCACTGAATAGAATGGAATGGTAACAAAGGACTCGTGGCCAACCCCATAAAATTGGGACAAGAATTAGGTGATGATAATGATGATGATATAAATGGGATTCATCTTGAAGACCTGAGTAACACACTATCAGGAACGATTTTTTCTATGAGCCTCTTGGTCAGTGTTGCATACTCGAACATGGGAGTCAGAATCTGACACCTGCTCAGGAGTCCAACTTGGCGAACCCAAAAAAGTAGGATTTGTGGACATCTCTCACATAAATAATATTTGATTGCATATGAAAATTATGAACATTTAATATTATTTTTAAGATCCACATAACTATATAACCATAGCTTAAAATATTTTCACTAACAAATTAAACTCGCGTCCTTCACCTATTATTTGCCACGTGGCCACACTAGTTGTTTTTCATTGTTTTCCTAATTTTGATGTTAATTGGAAAAGATCAAACAAACAATGGATTATAAGTTATCTGTAAATTGGATAAATACAAATACTAGAGTACCCTACTGAACAGTTTAAATGGTTGCACCTGTGTTATAAAATAGAATTTAAAGATTTGTAATCTTGGAGAGTAGATGTGGTGGTCACTTTGGTAAAACCATCTAATTCATACAGTTGCTGAGTCCAACATGTATTTTGGAAAGTCAGACACAAATCACCTCAAGGACACATGTTGACTCACAAGTCTCCTCCAAAGGTGGGGTGTCAATGCAACACTGCCCTTAGTGCAGAGGTCAAATAGAGAGAATACTACTCTTTGGATCTTTTAAGACCTTATTACCTTTTAACCTTTATTAGGGTATAAAAGATAAAATGCAGAGTTCAGCATAAGCTCATTACTTGCTGTGATTGTAGCATAGAATTTTGATGTTGTGACTGGAATCCTGGCTGTGGCTGGAGTCCCCTTGCATGCTGCTGTGCTTGGTGTGATAAAGTCCTTGTACCATCTTTCACATGATCCACCAACGTACCCAGATTGCTAATGAAAGTTCACAGGAATAATGTTAGACAATCGAACAAAATACTTGTACTAAACAGTGTCCTACAAACAAATCATTTTTATTTGAGAGGCTGGAAATACAAACAGAACAGAAATGGAATCTTTTAATGTAATAACCACATCAACCATATGAATATACATTTTGCAGAACAAGCAAACAAGTTAAATAGATTAAAAAAGACAAGCATCAAGAACCTAACGGGATTTTATACCACATGACTTTATATCACTAGGGCAAAATTATTTAACAATCTTCATTAGCTGTTTAATAAAAAATTGTTAACAACTTCCATTTTAATTGGCAGGTGTCTAAAATCAGTATCAATGAAAAGGGGAAAAACTAAGAATGACTTTCACAAACCCAAAAGAACAATACCACCACGATGACCAGCCCTTAGAAGAGACCAAAACAGGTTATAAAATTTAAAACGGATCAAATTTGCTGCAAGAGACAATAATTCAATATTGAGCATGAATTTTGTGAAAACAAGAGATAACAATGATAGTTGTTACCATCACCATTATCAGCATCATAAACTTATCCAAACTATTTGCATCAAAGACAAAGATATTTGCCATTATTCAAACATAATAATAATAACAACAACAACAACAAGAATATGATGATACTTTTTTTGAAAGGTAAAAAGAAAAATTTTATTGAAAGAAAAATGATCGGTGTTGTTATGGGCCCGGGCGTAGGATCTCGTCACGCGGTGGTCCACGGGGAAAACTCCTAGCCTTCCCTTGCCCTTCCCTTTGCGTGCTGACCCTATTGTGGCGAACTAGGGGGTGATTTGTTCAAGAGATCACCCTAACTCTCCTAAGCTCTTTCCTTGATCGAAAATTCCATCCTTTATTCCAATTCCAAGCTCCTTTAAATAGGAGATTACAAGAGGGTTTCCTTGTTGTATTCGACTAGGATAATCCATCTCTTATCGAAACTCAAACTACTACTTCTAATGGTAATTAACTTCCTATTTCTACCGGTAACACAACTCCTACTAAGAACAGGGGATAAGTAGATGGGATAAGGGATACGATAAGGGATAAAAGATAAAGTAAGTTGGCGGTGAGTTGGCTAGAGTGGCAAGGTAAGTGGGCCCCTGATGAGCTGTCGTGTGGGCCCCCCTTCAGTGCTGCTGCCCGCCGCGGTGGTTAGGCTCGCTTACGAGTGTGTCTACTGCTTCTGTGTCTGCAACATTACACCCCTCTTGGATTACGAGCTTGTCCTCAAGCTCGAATTCAGGATGGGTGTCGGAAAACACCGTCAAAGGAATCCTGGATAGGTGGAATGGCTTTAACCTCCTGGATCGGGTTCCCATGAAGGGGGTTCCTCTTCATCTTCCTCTTGTTTCACCAGGAGGCAGAAAAGTCTCTTGCACTTGTGCCCTGCCGAGTAGAGTTCCTCGCAATTAAAACATTGCCCCCTTGCCCTGCGTTCTGCCATCTCAGCCCTGGACAAGTGCTTAATAGAGGGTGTAACGACGCTGCTCCCTACACTAGATGCTGATCTGGGATTGGTGCTTGTCTGTGGCTTCCGTTCCTGGCTGGCTGCTGAGTATGGAGACACTCCGAGTGGTTCCGGGGATGCCCATGCTGATGGAGGCTGCCCCATACTGACGGTTCCGTGGCTGAGCTGTAGTTTGCGTTCGAAGGCGCGTTCTAGGTTCATGGTTGTGACCAGGTTGGGAGGGTGTTGCATCTCCACGTCCACCCTTAGGGGTTCTGCTAGCCCCACGGTGAACATATCCACCTGCTGGTCTGGGCGTACTGAAGAGGCTCTGGCGAGAAGGGTCTAAAATTGCCGCTGATACTCGGTTATGGTCCCAATCTGCTTGAGGTTAGTTAATTCTCCCAAGGGGTTGCTCGTTAATGGGGGTCCGAACCGAAGGAGGCAGTATGACTTGAACTGATCCCAACTAAGTCTTGACTCTTCCTGTTCCACTCGGTAGAACTAGAGCTGCGCTTCGTCTGTCAGATGGAACGTGGCCAGGCTGACTTTATCCTTCTCCTCCGTGCGCTGATTATGAAAGAATTGCTCACAACGGTACAGCCATCCTAGTGGGTCGCCGCTGCCGCTGTATGAAAGAAACTCCAAACAGCTATACTTGGGAATAACTGCGGTTGTCGGGGCAGCGATCTGCTGTTCGCTGGATGCCTCTGCACAGTCCGGACGGCAATTGTTTGTGTTGGCAATTCCCTCAGAACTCCTTTCTTTGTTGGAGAGGAATGCTTCCAGCAGACGTCACAGCCCCCGGACATCTTCCTTGACTTCACGAACCTCCATGATGGTTTCTGCTAGCCTATGTTCCAGTTCGTGGACCTTGGATGATAGCTGCTCCTTATCGCCCATGACGTTTGGCTCTAATACCAAAATGTTATGGGCCCGGGCGTAGGATCTCGTCACGGGGCGGTCCACGGGGAAAACTCCTAACCTTCCCTTGCCCTTCCCTTTGCGTGCTGACCCTATTGTGGCGAACTAGGGGGTGATTTGTTCAAGAGATCACCCTAACTCTCCTAAGCTCTTTCYT